AACACCTTTTTGTGACATTTTGAAATTTCAATATTTTTGGGAGATCTGTGAAATAAGTAATAATGCTTTATGTTGAAAATAAAGACTTTCCTGATAATATTCAAAGTATTGAGCTTTAAATGTGGACAGTAGTAACTTTTGTTTAATCAAGTTGTGGTCATGGCTGATGTTTAAAAAAATGTTATACCATGTCAGGAGTGCAACAGAAAAAAATGTAGTGTTGCCAAAAAACATCAATTGTAAAATTCTGAAAGAAAATTAAGACAAAAAAAGAATTTTCGAAGTGTAAAACAATAACTGATATACATTTTAAAACTTAAAAATTTTATATAAATCACAAGCAGCATTAATGAGAGTCAAGTATATGTGCATACCCAATAAGTCAGGATTGCAACATTTGATGTTTTGCTCTCAAGCATGAAAAAACTATTATCATTATATGATTTTCTGATTTTTATTTTGAAAATAAAGACACAAAGAAACATTTTTACCAAATAGATTTATTAATTGCAGGATCCGGCTGTGCTTCAGATCTATATTTCTATGGTCAGGAGTGCAACACATTTTTTTTTAAAGATTCAAGTTGTGTGACGAAAATACTTCTATTCATGCTTAAAAGTATTCATTAATTATTAACAATCTTTTTGTATAATTTGATACTAAATTATTGACAGTTTTATTATTAAAATCCTTCCTTTTTCAATTTTATCAATTCAGATGTGTTTTTATCTTTTTGTGATTTTTTCAATGAACATTAAAAATAAAGACACTAAAAAATTGTTGTAAAATTCAAGTAATTCCTCCTCAACTTCACTGAAAGAACAGAACAAGTTCTTATGTAATTTTCACTTCACAATTCTGCTTTTGGTCAGGAGTGCAACAAATATGGTAAAATTATAAGTCATCCAATAAAAATAAAAATAAAGAAAAAATGATGAGTAGAATTTTTCTGATGGGTTACTGTGTTTGTCCTCTAAAGGAAAATATGCTATAAAATATAATTTATGTTCTAAATATACATTTAAGCTAGTTTTTTTTTTTTTTTTTTTGGGGGGGGGGGCTTCAATAGGGAATAATTCCAGATAAAATGCGAATTTTAAATACTTTCATCTGTTTTAATACTAAAGTATTGGGCTATAAATATTGCACAATTTCATTATCACTTGATGTTGCCAACACTTTATGAATTTTTGTGTTATATGGTTTTAATTCTAAATTTTACTGCAGCCAGGAGTGCAACAAAACTGCTTTAATTATAATTACCAATGCTTTTTAACTATATTTACTAAAAATTAGTTGAAAAAAAGTTTGATACTATTTGATGTTCAAAACACTATGTCTATCTACAAATTACAGAAATTTTACAGTCAATTCAGGGAATAGTATTCATCCTATCACATATATTTTTAAATGCAATTTATATAATTATATTACACTTTGCAAATAATCATGTTTTAAGGTCTTGAAAATATGAAAAACCTGCCGTAAACGATGAAAAATATCAAAACGACAAATTGATATACAAAGTACGAATGACGATTGTGCGTTACAATGTTAAATGAAATACATATCAGATGTCAGGAGTGCAACAGAATAATGTAATATGGGGTCACTTCAAAATCTAGTATTTTTTGTGAGAGAACTCGTATATAAAAATTCATTTTTGGCTTAGATTTAAAGAATTGACTTGAACGGACAAAAAAGTGAATTTTGGGTAATTTTATTGCTTCATATTTTTATCATATTAAAACTTTTCAAACCAGAATTGAAAAAATAATGTGAAATAACAATCAAAAAGCCAATTTTTGTCACATATGCAAGAGATGATACTCAGTCAAGGTCTAGATTTAATCATTTATACCCCTATTACCTTTTGAAGCATAAAAAACTATAATTTCTTGTGATTATGTATTTTAGAAAGTCTTTTAAGGTGTATTGATATTTTCTTTTTTCAAAAGAAATTTTACTAATAAAAATTCTTAAACTTTTTTTTTTATCCAATTGTCTATTATATTCCCACTTCAGGATTTTAAACTTGAATGCATGTGCAATATGATGATATAAGGGAAAAATATGTTATAATTAGTTGAATTTTTCCAAAAAATTTCAGTTTGGTGGTCATTTTTCACCCTAAAGACAAAAATGACTCCGTAGAATAGGAACATGCCCAGGTCACTTTTCAATGCAGAAAAAAGTGTTTCATACACATGTATCTAGGATAGGCATGTACATGTACATTTGATCAGAAAAAACGGACATATTTTATTTATTATATTTTGAAGTGTCGTACATGTAAGTTTACTATTCGTTCAGCGTGCATCTTAGCAAAATTTTTACTGTAGGCATTTTATAATTTCAACCATTATATTGCTACCTTTACAACTGCATAGAGCTTTTTGCAAAAGACCATAAGGATTTCTCTGTAAGTGACGTGCTAATGCTTTCTATGTTGAGAAGTTTAAATACTACGTCACATTGTCATCTTATCAAAGAAAGAAACCGAGTTTGCGTCTCTCCTACGCTGAAGTCGGTGAGATGCAACATACAGGGTTATATGACAAATTCTACGAATACTAAAACACGCTTTTAAGGATATATTCACGTAATTTAAAGCTTTAAAAATATATTTTTTCTAATGTATGGCACTGTATGTAAAAAGTATATGTTCTGAGATTTTCATGCATTATTAATTAATTAGCGATATTTGATAAGGTTAAATATAGTTTGCATATTATATATAAAATTGAAATGACTTCTACAGAGAAAAGTCGTCTTGAAAAATGATAATGCCTTGTTATTTAGTTTTTTTTTAAAATTACACATATATTTCAATTCAAATTATCAGAAGACATTGTTTAAATCTGTTTAAGGATGGCCAATTGATGGGGGGGGGGGGGGAGCTGGCAAATTTAGTTTAGTCAGTTTATTTATTTTAATGGTTTCGAAGGAAAGAATATTTATTTCAAAGATGACCAAAGACAGATTAATTATTTTCCTTCTTTCCTGGACAAAGCTGACAAGCAAAAGAAGAAAAAAATGTCCAAACACACTATTCCTGTAGGAACTGGGGGAAGCTCGGGTTTGCCATTCCTCCAATAAATTTGAGGGTATACACAATGTATACTATACGATAGAAAACAAAGCAAAACCTAAAATTGCGATGTCCTCTCAATAATTATGCTGACCTTTTTGCCTGTCAATTATTTTCTGCATCCCCCACCCCACTCCCAACTGTGAAAAAACGATGCTTGGAATAGTGAAAGGACAGAAAAGAGAGAGATGGATAAAAAGAGGGGGGATTATGGGATAAAGAAAAATGCACTTGTTTTACTTCCATCTAGTACACATTGGATGGATGCATTCGTGACGATAATTGTACTTGTGGCATAAATATTTTGTGTATTTTTTAGTGAAATTAGAGGATGACCAATTGATTTTGAGAAGGGAGGGGGCTGGCAATTTAATAAAAAGAACCCACTAGACATGCTGTATATTGCAGGTCACTGACTTCAGCGTGGGGGAGACGCAAACTCGTTTACTTCCTTTGGTGTAGTGACAATGTGACGTAGTATTTAAACTTCTCAACATGGACAGCGTTTGCACATCATGAAAAGATAAATCCTTTTGGTCTTTTATAAACAGCTCTATGTCGAAATTCACTAAATAACGGGAAACTTTGCCCCCTTTTTCCCCTTCTTAACTTTGTTAAAATGGTGATCTTGGGATCAGGAGTCGATCCATAACGGTGTGTGTGTGTAAAATTTAACATATATGTATTATCTATAACAATTATATATATATATATATATATATATATATATATATATATATATATATATATATATATATATATATATATATATATATATAAGGGATGTCAACGAATATTCGAGTACTCGACTATCGTTCGATCATACCGACTATCGACTACAATATTTTTAGTCGGTTATTCATTAAAATTTGCTGATTAATACTAATCTTAAATTCAAGGTAAAAAAAATGGACCCGCCCTGTTTATTTAGTAACGAATTGGTGATTTCGTGAGTAAAACTCAGGGTAACCGTAAGGCTTAACCGTCTTCATTAATTGTTCAAAGAAAATATTTGCTTGTCGTCTTTTGTTCGGCATACATGCATTGGAATACTTAAAAGATGTCAGATCCAAATTCTAAAGTTTGAACCTGCAATTCCATACGATTTTGCATAACGCAACTATTAATTAAGAATAATTAAACAGCTGTAACATAATTGTAAAAACTTGTAAATTTGGCGACAGTTTTGAGCGTAATTTAAAGGTGTTTCTTTCCGATATTAATATCAATTATTTCAAGATTGAATTGCTTTTTTGCAAAAAAATCTCATAGTTAAAATTTATCGCAAGCTCTCTTTGTTTTTATAAGAGATTTAACTGTTTAACAGTCACGGGCCACTGACAAGACACATTCAAATGGCTTCAGGTAAGAAATCAATAATGGGTACATGCACTACCATCATGAAAAGAAAGCCACAAATACAAATTTTTGATATCCCGTGCACACAAAATGTGCCGTAAATACAATATTTGAAATTAAATACCGTGGACACATATATATTTCTTACTACTTAAATGTTAACGATTCAATGAAAATATTTTTAATTTTATTAATATGTAATGTTGAATATTATCTTTTCATTAAAAAGAATTCTTAAATTCACATGTTTTATAATAAGGATTAACTCAATATATTTTATTATCTGATTCAATTTATAGTAATAAACTAGATACTTAGAATGGAGCTCAGGACTTCCGACATCCTTGCTAGGATTCGATCATTTGGTAAATGAAACTGCCATAGATTCTACACAAACTAAAATATCACCTGATCATGACAAAGAGCACATGGCGGGTGTGACCGATCGACAGGAGATGCTTACTCCTCCATTGCACCTGATTCCACCTCTGGTGTTTTATGAGGTCCGTGTTTGCTCTGCTCAATATCTTAATGTATAAACCAGAGTAGATTATAGCATAGTGTAAGTTTATTTCAATAGCACATAAGTTTGGTTTTCTATCAACAATATTTTTATTTAAAATAAATACTTAAAACATATTCCCGTTTGAAGTCAAAATTTCGCAAATTCTATGGTCGATACAATGACCTTGACAACAAATACAACCTATCATTAGACTGTCGTTTTTCATACAAATTGTTAGACCATTATTTTCTCACTGAATTGTCTACGGATTTTTCCGTTTATCCGATCATGACAAGGAGCACAAGGCAGGTGTGACAGGGGATGCTTACTCTCCTCGACACCTGATCCCACCTCTGGTGTTTTAAGAGGTCTGTGTTTGCTCTGCTCCAAATTTGTATTGTTTTAATGAACTTTTGAGCTTGATTACTCTTCGTTATCTACATATTTCATTCTGCAAGAAATAAACACAAAAGAGGAAGGTTCGGGGAACCTGACGATGCCACCTCTCCATTCCTTAAATCAAGCCGTGAAATCCACGAACAAAACGGTGATTAATTCTCAGGGAGAAAAATGTTCAAAATTACTAGAATGAGAGAAAAATAAAATTACTGTAGTTTTTGTCAACTTTTTTGGATTGCGTCACATAAATATATGCTAAAATTCACAGATTATCGGAGTTCAACGTCTTAGAAGTATCATCTTAAAAGCTTGTGGCGTGTTAGTTATCCCAAGGTTTCCCTCCAGAGAAGGCATATATTTGGGATCCTCAGGTTTAATCTCAAACTTCTGTAGGAATCTGGTTAAAAAAAGAAAGAGCTCCATTTTGGCGAGTGCCTCTCCTAAACAAACTCTAGGTCCTGTAGGAGCAAAAAGAAGATATATAATTGATACAGAAGTAATTTCTAAACAATACACAGTAATAGCGAAAGTCCTAGTTTGAATTATCTATTTGATATTCATATTTAAAATAGGCATTGTCCATAATGTCAACACTGAGAAATTTTATTTTACATTCATACCTAACGAAAAGGAGACCAACTTATCTTTCAGCCCTCCATGACATCTTCGGCTGTCACCTAAAAATCGCTCTGTTTTAAACTTTGAAGGTTCGGGAAATATTTCTGGATCCATCAATACGGAATCCAAATTAAAAAGTACTGTGGCACCTTTAGGAAAGAGATACCCTTTGTACGTGATGTCTTCTTTGCCTGCATGTGGAATATTTAGAGGAGAAATATTTGCTAGACGTAGAGTTTCCTGTATAAATGCATCTACCAATGGCAATAGATCCTTGTGCTCCATCTTTGGTTGTCCCTGACCTATGACGTCATCAATTTCTTTTTGGAGCTTTTTCTGCCAATGTGGATAATGAATCAAGTACAGAAACGCCCATTTAAGTGTTGTGGAAGTAGATTCAGTTCCTGCGACAAAGAAGTCTCTTAAGGTTTGGTTCAGATTTTCATCTGTAAAATAGAAGTAAAATATTGGAACATTTCATAATCAATGATTTATATTTTGGATTAAATATTGGTTTTACACTTTAACAAATAGAACAAATCAGACTGTCTATTCCATGTAGCACTGAGAAAACGTTCGAAATGTATTTCTTTTTTGTGATTCTATTGCAAAACCAGATAGGCAATCCTAATCACCTTGATTTTATATTATTTACATATGTATCACGTGTGTATCAAGTTTTTAAGATTGCATATAATATGAAAAGGTTGTTTGCATTGCACCATCCAAGTGGGTTTTAAATTCCTATAAGTTCAGAAAAAGCTTAGAAAAGACACAAACCCAGCCCTAAAAATGTGTACATAACAAACTACCTGTAAATGTCGTATTGATTTCATTTGATCTTTGTTTTTGTTCCAAAAGGAAAGCATCGATGAAATCATTGATGTGGTCCTCGTCAAAATGTCTTCTGTGCTCCTCTATTGTTTCATTAATAAATTCCCTCATAACATTAAAATCTTCTTCAATTGAGTCGATGTTAAATATTCTAATATGGCGTAAAGAGGGAAAGATAAAGACCGGTGATGATGTAGTGACGCTGCTTAAGGATCTTGACAGTAGATAAATTAAACGCTTGAATCTTGCATCTTCATAATCAAACCTTTTACCAAATAAAAGCGAACAAATAACGTTAGCCACGGATGCGTTTAGGACACTTTGAATATCGAAAGCCTCGCTTTCATAGTTTTCCAATTTCTCCATGAAACAGTCTACTTCTTCCATGATTTGGCTTTCCAAGCAACGTTTCCCGAATCCAAATTTGCGCAATGTCATCAGTGCAAACGCTCTCGTTTCCTTCCATAACGGACCTGATGACCACACCACACCTGGACAGAAAAAAAAAGATGTAGATTAAACTAACAGTCAATACGGAACCTAACAGTGATACTATAATGGGATATTTTGAATAATCATGATGATGAGATCAATAATTGTTGTTATAATCAGTGACATAAATTTTTCAGAACTTAAAAATCTAACAGTGTTATTATTTCTCGATATGTCATCCGCTCTACGTACAGTGTCAAAGTTAGATTTTGTACAATGGATTTACGCAATATTGTTCTGCGCACACCGCCAGTGTAAAGAAGAGTATGTAGAATAATGACCCTTTTGCCGTAGAAATAGTGGCATCACCCTTAAAATCTGCATACCCTACGTGACGGAAAATGATCCCCGTAGAATAATCCCCCGTTGTAGATGTTGATTGGGATATTCATGTATTTCTCTTTCTGGTTAAAAAGATTAAGAATTATAAATCAAAGGGACCGTTGACCAAAACGCTCACCTGAGGTATAAATGAGGATACAGGTTTGATATGTTGCTCTCATGAAATTTTTCGAATAAAATGATATGTCTTATATTAAAAACTGACAACATTAATCGACTTCAATCTACATGATGTCCATGTGGAAATGCCTCCATTTTGGTTTGATAAATGTATCATTGTTTTTAAGATTTTTTAAATTCATATATTCGCTAATATGTCAGAGAGAGAGAGAGAGAGAGAGAGAGAGAGTAGTTTACTATGTTACCTTTTAATCAAGTTGTTTTAAGAGCATGTATTTTTAAGTTAATGATTTTAACAGTGTAAATGCATTTTATTTTCGGACATACAGCAAAATTTTCTTACAATTTGAATAAGAAACTTTATGTGTTTTGGAAACCTTTGGTACATTTTCATTAAAACGAAAGAGCAAGCATTAATTAACTATCCTTTGTATATGGCAAACAAAAGTTGAGATGCAAGCAGTTTTAACCTAAACTGCAAGTTAAACTTCTATGAAAACCCCAGAACCGCAAAGGAATGGAGTCAATGAAAATTGATCATGCAGATATCCATACCTCGTCCCCAAAGTGCAATTAATCCATGTGCTTTATACATACACCATCTTTGATTTGGATTGTTTCCTTCATCAGAGGATTGATAAATCTTGTATATAGAAGAAATATCAAATATGTAATTCACTATGTTGTCCAAGCAAATATCCAGTTCGTCCGAACAATTCCAATTAAAAACAATTTAATCTACTTTCTTTAAGTGTATTTTGTTTGTGCGAAGGAAGAATTTATTAGTCCACACAAATATTTTGTATGTCAAAAAGAAGAACAAACTTGTCAGAACATATATCAAATTCGTCCGAACGATTATATATTTTTTCTGTGCTTCAACGGCACCATACTATTGTATTATATTCCTTATTTTTAAAAAAAATTGGCCTTCATGGATTTTTGTAAATTTATCATTAAAATTCAAAAATTACAAAGTGTGTAATATATTATTAACTTTACAAAATAGAGAATATTGAAAAATAAATGTATTTTCTAAAAAGGTCATTATAATGACCCAGGATTTTTTTAATGCCGACATTGATTGAGATTTCGAAAGCCCTGAAGATTCCATTGTGAAATGGTGAAAACAGAAACATTACATAACTCTTCTGTTTACCTTTTCTCCAAGTGCTAGTCACTTCCCATGCACACTTCTGTGAATAATTTACCTGATATATCAACAGTCTCGCTGTAGTCTCACTAAATCTCGCCAGAGCTACTTCGATCTCCTCGGGCATTATAATTTGTTGAACACAGAAAAATAAAAGGTTTTGAACACATTTGTTGTAAGACAAAATGAATGTGCTACAGTTTTACCATTTCCTGCTGTAAGATCCGTGGCAAGCGATCTTGGTCGCTCAGAGAATACATCTCCATGCTTAGCCAGTAATTGTCGTATGTTCTCGAATCCATGTACAAATATGATGGGTTTATGGAAGATCATTATGGTATAGATGTCTCCATGAATCTTCCTCAGTCTTCTGTGAGCTTTCACAGCTTCTGATGGTTTGAAGATTCCGACATTCCCGATGATGGGGTAACATGTAGGTCCAGGCGGAAGTCCCTTTGGTCGTCCAGTTAAACTCCATATCAAACAGATTAAGACAGCAACAATGGTTAACGTCACCCACATAATGCAAAATGTTGAATATGGTGACCTACATTCATTTAACTCTATTGTATGGTTGTATATCTGTGCCAAAATTCTGTTTTTCTTTGTTTTTGATTTTAAAATTTTAATCTAAATCTTTATACCTACATTTTCCAAAATAATTCAGTGTGTCATCCCCCTTTTTTTATTTTACAAGAATTGCTCCTTTTTGAAAAAAAGAAACCAAAATCCTTGTGCAAAATAATATGAACTATGACATGTAGATGTCCAATACTGTTTGAAAATTTAGATTTTGATGCTGAGGAGTTTTTTTTTTTAATTGGGATTTAAAGGATGTTGTTTAGAGATCCTTACCTTACAAATTGTCATATCATTATAATGTGTCATGAGGTTTTAGAATGTGGATCTCTTTTCCAAGTGCACCAGGGTTTCAATCATTAGAAATGCATTTTCCTTTAAAACAACTTAATGGCCTTCTTTTCAAATTATGCATTCTTAAGACGCCGTGAAGGAAGGCAAAAGGATATAGACTGAGTACGTCCGAATTATAACATTCATATATATATATATATATATATATATATATATATATATATATATATATATATATATATATATATATATAAAAGTCAGCCTACCGAGGTAAGACTTTACATAGCAGACAGAGATGGAAAACCCAAAGACGACCCTTTTCCAGTACACCAGGAGGTCCAAGGCGATAAAACATAAAAAAAACACATGCATGGAAACATTCAAATGTATAGATTTATAAAATATTTTTGAATATAAATCTCAAATCACTTTTAAAGTTGACATGCTTTTGTGAACTGATTATATGCACATTTCGAAAATAAATATTTTGCTACTAAACAAAGCCAAAGTCGCAAACAAAAGATATGATGATTTTTGCAATTTTGTTTTAATTTTTTACAATCATGATTGATCAAATTTTCGTTTCTAGTATTCAGTTCTCCCTCTTTTGCATGTAGTGTCACTAGGTTTGCTATGAATTAAAATTTTAAAGAACGATTTCGCAATTGAATACCCTTCCCACTGAAGGGTCTACCACATGTCTTTTTTTTTAGCAGTTGACATTTTTTGATCCAAAGTCTCCATTCCAAAGTATATTTCACCTTAAATGTTTTAGACTGAGTTTCACTAAGGATTGCTTTCCGGTCGCATTAGTGTGAATAATGGATTGCATTTGAGAAACTCTCATGTGCTCATAAGGAGATACTGAAAGATGTTAGTACCAATTTTACTTGTTTAGTATTACACAGAAAACGATTTGTATGTAATATTTAGCAGCATGCCAAAAACCACTAGAGGTCTAGGGTTTCTTAGACATGATATAGTCTCCACACTTCCCTTGCCCTGAAAGAGTTCTGATTAAAACCCAAATAAATACATTTGAATTCAAATAACGAAGACGGTACTTTACTGAAAACATACGAACAAATCAAACTAGATGCTGTCATGAGACAGTAATACCCGCACTAAGGTGTTTGCCTCTAAATGCACACTCCTTCATATTGGGCTTACCAAGGAAAAAGTCCAAATAATTCTATAATTTACACAGTACATGTATTCGTCAAATCGAGCATAAAATGCTCAGGTGACCATGTGACCCATGAACCTCTTATACGCATTTCATATACTTAATTCATTACCAGTCTGAAATATCAGAATTTAATTAATGTTGTAAATTAGGTTTTAATAAAAAGGGGGGATATAAATTTTTGGCCCATAATTGGAACTTTTTAAATTAAATTTATCTTCTCAACAACAAATAATATTATTTTAGTACAAAGCGTTTTTGATGAATTTATCAAAATGTGCAAACTTCTTTTAGTATTTGATTAGGCAAAAACCTCCTTGAAAAGCCATACCCAATCAATTTATATGTGTCCCCCCCCCCCCCAAATTCACACACACACAATTTGCCTGTTTTTGGAAATAGGCCTAGATGGCAAAGTTATGTTAAAACATCGTTTGTTATGATAATTTAAAATTTGTTCTTGTACTGTACATGTATGTGAACACCTTTTTGAAAATTTCTACATCACATTGGGCTTGCGTCACCCTACCAGTACTAGTACTAGTTTTACCATTATCATTTTTAGATTGCACATGCCATGTGACATGGTGCAGTGTTACATGTATATCAGTGGAAATTAATTCATTTTGTGTTTTAATTGGATTATATTTCATGAAGTTGACAGGACCTATGACAGTCGGTAAGTACAACTTTAAGTATAGATTGGGGTAAAATAAACCAAAATGCAAATGGTTAGGTTAAAGTTTAAAAAGGATCAAAGATCATCGGCAATCTCCTATGCAGAGTTGTCGTTCGTTTCTCTCTCAGACGCTGAATGTATGAGCCGATGGTAGAGAGTGGATCATCGATGCCACAATAGACGAATTTCACATTCTGAAGAGTTATCTCCCGTTGTCGACATTACATTCAGTTACAGGCATAGATCCGGGAATTTTTTTCCGGGGGGAGGGGGGTCCACACCTCGGTCCAAAAAAATTCCAGCCCAGAATTTCCTGAGGAGCAAAATAAAAAAAAAAACAAACAAACAAACAAAATAAAAACAATGATGGTGGGGTCCATGTTTTTAAAGGGGGAGGGCATCCAAAGTCATTTTTTATTTGCTTCTGTAAATCAGTATATAGTCCTATTTAAATAACTCTGCAAATTCCAGGGGGGGGGGGGTTCCAATCTCCCTAGTCTCCCTGTCCCTGAAATGACAAATGATCATGCGACTCCTAAATAGTAGAAAATTTTTCCATTTGACTAGACATAATTTTGTTTCTTGTGTTATTATGTTATGTACATCTAATGGTTTAAGGTTATGAACCCTTGAGGTCATCCCCACTCTCTTGTTCATAATATGACTACATCAAATTAAATAGAAGTGCATCAATGATAAGATTACTTGACATTTCATTCATGAATTTGGGTCAACCTAGAATTAGGAATGAAAATCATTCAAAGAGATGGACCATTAAACTATTTGTATGTATTCACATTTTTTTTATGTCAAACCAAAGTATTAGACTAGTTTGCATACATGAACAAACTGGGGTCTGGGAAAGGGAAGGGGCAAGGGGAAGGAGTTATCTCTTTATGTCTTAATTAATTGTTGAAAATTCCTAAAATGAATGTTAACCTTAAATCCGACTTGTACGTCTTCATTATTTTTAAGTGGTGGTGTCTCCGTATGAGTGAAAAATTCCCAAGAGGGACATTTAACAACAAACAAACATTAATGACTTAAAAAACACAATATACATGTACATGTTTATTAGTCAATGGATATACTTCTGATCATATCTCTAGTTCTCCCTTGAATCAGAAATGATGATATAAATATTTTAAGAATGATTAAGAGTTGAAAAGGTTGTGCATTTTAAAATTCACTAAGCTCTGTGGTTGAATTAGCTATACCAGTTTAGCTTATTTTGCTACTCAAAGCACCTTGATTAACTATTTTTAATCATACTGTTTTCTGAAATGTGAAGTTTTTTCAACATGGATACAAGTCATACCTTTTCAGCTTCTGAAAACAATTAATGCATGAAAAAAAAAACTGCTTTTCAAATACTGTAACTCTTTCCAAGTACTTGTGATCATCAGTTTTTAGCTCACTTGAGTTTTTCTGGTTTTCTGATCACATTTTGTTTGTCATTCATCTGTCCGCCTGTAAACTTTTCACATTTTTGTCTTCTTCACTAGAACCGCCGGGCCAATTTCAACCAACCCAGCCACAAAGCATCTTTGGGTAAAGGGGATTCAAGTTTGTTCAAGTGAAGGGTCACACCCTCTTTCAAGGGGGGATAATCAAGAATTAGTGAAAATTTGGTGGTATCATTTTAAAAAAGTCTTATCAAGAACCACTGACTGGGCCCAAAAAGTTGAAACTTTCTTTACATAGACAGTGTAGCTTCAAATTTGTTAAAATTATGACCCACTGGGGTAGGATGGGGCCACATATGGGGATCCAATGATTTACATAGAAAAATGCAGGGGATTTTTTCCATCATAAATCTTCTTCTCATGAATAGCAAGGGCATTATTGTCGTCCGTTTTCACAAAAGGGACCTAGGGGACATTAAATCTCATTTGTCTGTCAGTCTGTCCGTTTGTCAGTCTGTCCGTCTGTCACAATAAATTTAACCTTGGTCATAACTTCTGAATAATAAGAGATAGGGATTTCATATTTCACATGTACATTACCTACAAGAACTTTCTAAACATACCATGATTTTTGAACCCATGACCTTGACCTTGAAGTTTGACCTACTTTTCAAAAAATTTAACATTATTTCAAATGATCATTTTGAAAGAGAAAAGATAGGGCGTTCATATTATACATGTATATTACCTGTGACAAGACCTTTCTAAATATATCATGACTTTTGACTCTGTGACATTGACCTTGAAGTTTAACCTACTTTTCAAAAATGTTATATTTCCTTATAACTTTTGATTGAGAAGAGATAGGACTTTTATATTTGACATGTACATTACCTGTAACAATATGTTTCCAAGCATGCTATGATTTTTTACCCCTTGACCTTGATGTTTTACCTAATTTTCAAAAATTTTAACTTTGGTGATTACTTTTGAATGACATATGATAGGGCGTGCATATTTGAAACAATATGTCATAAATAATGGCATCCCATCCACTAGGACACGGAAAGCAGGGGACCACAATTCTTTGAATTTGCTTGTTAGTCATTTTGATATGGAAACATCCTCATATAGTGTAGATTCAAGTTTTTTATGCCCTGCCATGAATATGGCCGAGGCATATAGTGTTTGTCATGTCCGACTTCAATAAAACGTCATATGCTGATACATACTGATGTAAGCTTTTCAACTGCATCAAAATTTTTGACCTTGAATTTTCCTTTGACCTTGACCTTACTTTTCTTAAATTAGTGTCTAGATCAGTTTTGAATAAACAATTCAAGATATATTTATCAAACTTCATATGCTGATATAATTATACTGCTGAGAG